CCTTGCCAGGTGTCCAGTGTGCATGACCATGCAGAAAGACCTGCTTCGCTGTCCGGCCTGCCGCAACGTCGGCTACTGCTGCGATGCTCCCAGAGTGTCACGACATTTGCGAAGCGGCAAAGTATGGGCAGTGCACCTAGCCTTTATTGCGGCCCATGTCCAGGTGTGCAGCATCTGCAAGAGGATGTTCCTCGACATCGCGTTTGGTGCTCCTCGCGAGCGTGACGACCAGCATGCCAAGACGGCGTTGCAAAACAAGTGCTGCATGATACTGCGTGTTGCTGCAACTGCTGAAGACATCTGAAGCCAGTTCTTGGGTGGCAAGCTCATTGGCCCTGTCTTTGTTTAGGTGCTCAGCTTGCATGACATCGGCTTGGACCGATCAAGTGCATTGCGCAAGCATGTAATTGGTACTTACAGGAGCAGTTGGCTTGCATTGTTCAATGATTGCAGCATTGAGCTGCAGTCAATCGATCAGGATTTGAAGCGAAACAGCGCCAGAACTAACACGCACACACACGTCCGTGTTTGGAGGCAGTAGCTCGGAGTATGGCTTCCGATGACGGCACCGCCTGTGAGAAGATGTCTTGCGCATTGCCCGAGGCCTGCTTGCATGCGAAGGCTTGGGCCTTGCTTGCTGTTGCCACTGCAGACATTCAGACAATCCTGTTGCCGCTGCTTTCTGGGCTTAGTGGGGGCTTGGCAAGATCGCAGACCCAGTCCGTGCCAGCACAGGCGCCAGCAAGAGACGTTGTGTCACAGCATGTCGTGTTGCTGTGCGGATCCTGGGTGAGGTTGATGCGCACACATGTCGTGTTTCTGCTCTCGCCGACGCTCCTCACGACTGCAGGCAAGACAATGCATGTCAAGGCCATCGGTTGGGCAATGTAAGGCGTCAACTTGTTTTGGCCTGAGGCATCACTCCAGCCTCCCGCAGTGGCTGTTGCCATCAAGGTTGGAAGACCATGCTTCTGCATGCAAGGAGGGCAGGCCGGCCGGGTAGCTTCAAACTCTGTGAGTCTTGGAGGCACGGGAGGAGTTGGAGTGCCGAGGCGGCTGTGCTGTGAGCATGGCCCAGTCCAGCCTGAGTGCCTCGTTTTCCGGCAGGAACTGGCCCCAACCTGCGCGACCTGAGCGACGAGGTTGTTGCCTCGGTCGCGAAGCAGCAGCGAGTAGTACTCTCGCTGTTGCAGATGTCGAATGCCGAGGTTCTTTCAACGATCCTGCTTAGAGACCTGGCTAATGTTGGCGGTTCTAGCGAGAGACAGAGAGAGAGAGAGAGAGAGAGAGAGAGAGAGCGATCCACCATTGCGTGCACCGTGTTGCTCAGGCCTCCGTGGTGCTGAGGTTGCAGCATGCCTGGGTCCAGTGGCGCGATTCCTTCAGCATCGTCTAGACGAAGAGGCCTCTAATCCTCTGATGCTTTGCAGAAAAGGGCGCAAGGGCAAGCTGCCACTTGAGTGAGGCGAGGCTTATGCAAGTGCTGCTACACATGCCAACCGTCGAAAGCCTTGCCGAGGACATCTCTATGGGCAAGGTTCTTGAAGCAGGACTCGAAAGTACATGCTTTCATTGTTTCGATTTTGCTAGCGAAAGCCCTTTTCAGGAGTTTCATGGTGATGGCAAGGCAGAAGCAGAAGCCAAATCCATTTATAAGGTTTTGATCCAGAGGAGACGATGCAAGACTATCGAGTGGCGAAAAGTTCCTTGCCAGCACACGCTCGGAGCGAGAGAAGGCTCGCCCGGGATGTTCTTCCGCTACGGCCGCGTCTTCGTTTTCGGCGGCTGGGGGTCACAAGGTCCAACGAGCGACTTGGATCCAGATTGGGGCAGCAGCCAAACCACAAAGGCAAAAACAGGGGCACGTTATCGAACACCGCGAGAACAACAGGCGTTCCATGCACGCAAACAGCGCTATCGTGCTTATGGTGCCCAGCGACATATGATTGTAGGGTTCCTGCAAATCAGCAGCTGCCTTTAAGCAGGGGCTTTGTTCGTCTTGATGTGTCGTTTTTCGGAGATGTCAGCTGCCTGTATACCTACGTTGCGCGACATGCCTGGCTGTTTTGGCTTGATTCCCTGTCGCTTGATTTTGCCCGAATCACGGAGTCGCTTCTGGATGTTCGTATGTTCGTTTTGACCTCGCATTTCCGGCCTTTGCCAGTCACGCAAGGCATTGCAAACCCAGCACCTGAATCTTTAAGTCTTACATGGGCATGCGAGACACAAAGAACCTCGCAATACCTTCAAGCTAATCCAAGAGGAGCCACCTCACGATACATGTAGCGTGTGAAGCTGAGGTGATCTCCATGTAGGGCCTTTGGCAGCACCGCTTCGCTTGCAATCGATTCCGATTGAAGGGCCCCCGGAAGGCCGGAGACCTCCACCAACCTACGAAGGGAAGATCACCGTCCTAGACGAGGGCCACGACCTGGGCGACCACGGCGACTTCTCTGTGCGCGTTCTTGTGACGGGGGGCTACTTGCATGGTGGTGGCGACCTCAGGCCTCAGAAGACTAGATGAGACACTCAGACATGTTTTCGTTCGGCTTCGAACGTTCATTGAGGCTACTTCGGTGAGAGCTCTAGCTACGGCCTCATGGAAATCAGTGGCAGGGAAGATGCTGTTCGAGCGCGCTGGGTGAAGACCGGAGAAATGACACCGCGCTCCAATCACAGCGCCACATACGTGCCGCCGAGGGTCGCAGGTTGCGCGTTTCCTTCAGGCTATGTTCTCGCATTCGGGGGTAACACGAACGGGTCTGTCTCGAGCTCCCTCGACTTGCTTGATCTGTCTTCTTTGACGTGGGTCGACAGCATAAGCTGCGACGGCGAGGCGCCAGCGGCACGGAACTCTCACAGTGCAACACTTCTTCGATGTGACGAAGGGGACGGCATTCTCATAGTGGGAGGTGGGTCTGGGGATGAGCGGAACGGTGGACCTCCTCGGGGAGGACAAGATTTGACAAGCCCTGAAAGTGGTGCATACTGGCTTCTCGGGCTCGATGGACTTGCACGCTTTAGGTGGAAGCGACAGCCTTTGACATCCGAAGCACCGCTCGTACATGGTCGAGGCCATGTTGCGGTTCCTTTGTCTGGCACTGACACGGTGGTGCTCGTCAGTGGTGGCCGCGCTCCAACTCCGCATTGCACTGCCTTTTCATCTTCCTACCAGGCTCGGATGCAGAATGGGCACGGTCACCCAGCCCCCCGAGCTTTTGGTGGAGGCTGTGCCCTGCCAAACGGCATGCTCATGGTGTATGGTGGCTGGAATCCCAGACAAGGCACCTATAATTGCTTTTGGGCGGCATGTGTGGACGAGGTGGGGTCAAAGACGGACTTCTTCCAGAAACTGGCCGAGGTGCCCCAGGAACCGGAGGTGGAGAATGAGGACTCGGACGAGGACTCCATGTTCAGCATTCCGGTGATGCTCCGAATGGCCCAGATGGCTTATTTTGACGGCCGGCAGCCTTCTTTCGAGAGGCAGCGCGAAGGCTTCGGAACTGGAGGATACCCTGGCGTCTTCGAGGGCGCAGAAGAGGAGGATGAGGAGCACGAGGAGCTCGAAGAGTTAGACGATGACACCGACGAGGCTCGGAGAAATGGTGTCTAGGTCTTCGTGTCGCGGGTGGGCGTGTTGTTTTTTTTCGTGCTAGTTTTCCGGCTGCTGGGGTCGTCCTTTTTGATTGCCACTCCTTGCCCCATGTAAGCGACGAAGTTGTGCAGATGTTCTGCTTCGCTGAGCCCCTCGCTTTCCAGCTGGGCCAACAATCCGAATCTGTTTTGGTAGGGATGCCAACGAAAGCTAAAGTTAAAAACATGATGGGAAGTTGGGAAGTGAAATGAGGCGTAAATGTGCAGCCCAACAAGCTTGGTGCATAGTAGTTCCCCGGAGCAAGCTTGCACGTGCCGTGGTCATGTCATCATGTGCGAGTTGGACTGATTCAACACAGGATGTAATCGCCACGCATGGCTGGGTCTGCTTGAACACCTGGGGCAACAAGCGAGGGAGCAAAGCAGAAACCGTGCGTGATCTGACCAGGAGGCATGGTCTGCAAGGTTTCGAGGTCCTAGGCTTGTGCGAGAATCGAGGTCACATCGTCCAGTGAGGGCGTGGCTGAATGGGATTTGTCTGACGCCTGAGAGCTTCCGGGCCACAAGATTGCTTCCGGGTCCCCAAGCACGTCGCCAGCCTGCGGCCTGGACCCGCGAAAAGCAGGAAACTCTGCCCGAGACAAGCAACCGGAGAGGTCTGTGCAGAGACACTCCCAGAAAGGGTCTGTGCTCCAGGCAGCAGTCAGAAACTTGTTTCTTGACGCAAGAGTTGCTTTCTCAAGCAGGCATGTACATAGAAAAGCTTCGGTCCGCTTCTGTGCAGAAGCGAATTGACCACTGACTAGTTTGTAGTAATTTACGGTCTCGGCAAGAGAGACGTCAACAGTTGGCTTTGCTACCAGTGTGTGCTGTGCAGCCAAAGGAAAAGCGATCGAAGCATGCCTTGGTGAGCTGCCAAGAACTCGGTCGAAAGGGGTGGCAAACGGCTGTGTCACCTGCGAGGTCCGAGCGCGTGGCCCTGGCTTAGCATGGTCGGTGCCTATGCTCTGCAATACTAACTTGCTTCACCTGTGTCACCCGGCTTGTTGTGCATTTGCCCATCATCGTGGGGCTGTGCTTCGAGGCTCGATGCCGTTGCTGAAGAAACTTCGGTGTGTGTTCCTGGTTGCGGACTTGGACAGCTGAAACATGGAACTGTGGCGCTTGTTTGACATGTTCTCGTGAGCAGCACTTCAGTGCTCCACCCAAACATGGATCGCTATGAAAGATCACACCCTCCGATACGTCTTTTGGCTCAAGACTATCGCATCTGGCCCAAACACCCGTTGGGCAACAACTCGAGTCTTCTGTGGACTTCAAGCAGAGGAGCCGTAAAGCCCGTCTGCTTTGTCAGCTAAGAAATCCCAACCAAAAGCGTCTTCTTTCTGGTCGTGATCGTCAACGTCATGGCCGACTTCACAATGTCGACGGCATCGCAGACCCTCGACGCCGTTTACAACTCTTTGGCTCCCTTATGGGTTGAGCTCTCCTTCTTGTTCTTCTTTTCCATGGGTTTCTTCTACCTTCGCGCCGACACGTTCAAAAAGAGCAAAAAGGGCAAGATGAAAGGTGGCCCGCCCACTTTTCGACCCTCCGCCCGAAGGACCATGGAGACCGAAGCTGCAGCAGGCAATGCCTCCAAGCTTCTGCAGGCCTGGCGCGATGAGCAGGCACAGGCGCCCACGCCGAAAGACCTCCTGAAGCCTGTGGTGCAAGCCTTCGTGGATGCAGAGCCGGAACAGCTCGTCGACGAACTCGTTGAGCACCTCCGCTTGCACAAGGAGGTTCTGGTGAACTCTTGGGCAGGGACCGTCATCTTGGACACGGTGGCTCGTTCAGGAAACGTGGAAGTGATGATGGATTTGTGGGACGTCTACCAAAAGAAGCTTTGCCTCGCTCGCAGCTGCTCCATGTATGAGGTGGTCTTGGGCGGCTTCGCCTCCGCCGGCCATCCTGATCGGGTCGAAGAGTTTGAGCACATGATGCGGAAGGATCGGCTCAAGCTCTCGCCACGCGGGCACTCCTTGATTATCAAAGGCTTCTTGAAGAATGGCTTGGTGGATGAGGTTCTCAAGAGGATTGTCTCCATGACCAAATCGGGTCATGTTGTTCCAGCCTTTGCTGTGGCGCAGTTCCTTCGTGTGGCGGCTGAGGGTTCAAAGGCAGCAGCCATGTATCAGAAGCTTATCGAACACGGCGTGGCACTGGGAACGGAGGCAGTTACAGTCATTCTCGAAGATTGTGTTCGCAATCATGATGCCAAGCTTGCCAGAGAAGTGGAGAAGGCAGCGCGAGAGGCCAAGGTCTCCTTCGGAGTGCACGCATATGATGCGCTGCTCAAGGTCTTTGCTGAGGACTGCGATGTTCATGCACTTGAGATCTTCAAGGAAATGCAAGCCGAAGGTCACACCATCAGCGAAGGGCTGTGTGTGGGTCTCCTCGCCCGCTGTGCGGACGGCAAGTTCCTTAGCTTTGCGGAGGAGATCGTCCGCTTCGTGCGAGCGGGCCCGGGGATGAGCATTGCGGTTTACAGTGGCTTGATGAAGGTTTATGCTTACTCCGGGATGTACAGCAAGGCCTGTGACTTATACGACCAGATCCGCCAAGACGGCCTGGAGCCGGACACGATGATGTACGGCTGTCTCATGAAGTTCTCCGTTGAGTGTGGTCGGACCCAGCTCTCCCAGGAGCTCTCCGAGAAGCTCTCCGTCCTGGACATCCAGAAACCCGGCGGGAAAGAGAAGAGAGAGACAGAAAGAGAGAGAGCGAGAGAGAGTCGAGACCACTAACAACCTGCAAGGACCAGCAGGTGCGCGTGCGGGGCGAGGGCTTTGACCTACCCTGAGCCCCAAGCCTGGTAGAGAGAGAGAGAGAGAGAGGCGGAGCAGGCTCTGTTTGTTGACCTGTTTTCTGTTGTCACAAGGAACTACATGTCGCTCATCAAAGCCGCCGGCCGTGACCGTGATGTGGACAGGGCCTTTTCCATCATCCAGCGCCTGCGCGAGAACAACGTCCCTCGGCAGAGCTTCAGTGCTGTCTCACATTCAGGTGCCAAGAAAAGGAGCAAAGATCTTAAAGGTACTGATGGCCGCCCGGACCGATAGGACCTGTCTCGTGCATGATCGCGCAGCCGTCTCTAGAGCCAACACAAGCGTAGTCGGTCGTCCCCTTCAGATGTCACGACATAATTGAAAATCTCGTCAAGCATACCTTACTAAGTATCGGGTTGCAAGACGCTGGTGTAACCGATGGACTGAATGGCTTCACGTTCTGATCTGGTGAAGAAGTGGCTCAGCAAGGGCGGCGCTACGCCAGCATGCCCGGCACATGTGGCCAGCGATTTGCTTCTCTTCAAGGGGTACCGTGCGCCTGAGAAGTGCGAGCTTGAAAGGCAGACCACCAGCGCGGTAGACTTCGACCTTGCTGCACAATCAGAACAAGGTTCATCTTCCAACTCTGATCTGGAAGGCATGTACGCTTTTAACGGCATTGTCCAGACAACGGAAGAGGCGCAAGAGCACACCTGCTCTGCTGCTAGTTCATCTAGTGCACTGGGTGTCTCAACTCCAGCCAATAGCAGTTGGCTGGCTGTGGCCGGAGAGGCTCAACCTGGGCCTGCAAGGACAGTTCCCAGCTCGGACACTGGAGAGTTTCCTGGCCGAGACCTCCGCAGCAAAGTTGAACCCTTTGAGTCAGGCTTGCAGAGAAAGGCTACAAGGATACGAGCCTGCCAGATTGATGCCTCATCGAAGCTTGCGAGCAGTGGCAAGTTCACTGGTGGGGCCTGTCGAGGTGAGAGACTCTGTGGCAGTGCGCACTCGCAAGCAAAGAGTTTGTTGAGCTGTGGCAAGGACGCCTCGGACATCCTCGCTAGGCTTGGCAGCAAAGCACAGCGTACCTCCGGAGCTGTTGCCGCCGATTTGAAGTCCAGGCCCAGTCTCGACACTCGGCGCCGAAGTGACACGCCAGTCCCCGTTGGGCGAGCTTCCCGCAGAGTGAAGACGCCCCGTGAGCAACCCTCTTGACAGCCGGTGCTTCTGGTGGGGCGACCTCATCGCAGTTGAAAAGGCATCTGGAAAAAGATTGTTCTGCAGGTTTGGCCTGGATCCGAGACAGCTTGCGAAGGGCAAAGAGAAGCCTATCAAGTGCCCGAAGAGTGAGGTACAACAGTGAAAACCAAGGTACAGCCGGAGTGTCACAGCCTGCAGAATGTAACTCTCGGTTTTCCAATAACGCTCCGGTGCTCGTTGTGTTCCGTTTTCTCTCTCCTGTCTCTCTGTGTCAACCCGCTTGTGTATATCCATGAACAGGGAGTACCCGGCCTTCCTCTCACCAAGTGCGCGCAACAAAGTCTTGGGCCAGCTCAGGTGAAACCGGACGCCATTGCCTTCAACTGTGTGCTCGATGTCTGTGTCAAGGCTGGTGACCTGGTCCGGGCGCGAAAGCTTGTACAGGAGATGAAGGACACCTGCTTGCAGCTCCGTCGGTTCTGCTGTGTCATGCAATCTAGGAATCTAGGGGTGAGGATGCACGTGATGGCAGGAGCTGGAACTGCTTGCAACCCGGCTGAAGACATGATTTCCACAATCGGAGCGACAGTCTAGGGCCTCTCTGCGAGGACATCATCACATACAACACCCTCTTGAAGGGCTATTGCACGAAAAGCGATCTCAAAGGTGCCAAGGACATTTCAGCTGTCAAATAAAGCAAAACCTCCAACATTCACACATGCACTCCAAAAAGGAGCTCCTGTCGGAGATGTCAGAAGCGGGATTCCAGCCCAACGACGTCTCCTACAACTGTCGCTCGAGCTTGCAAAATAGAGCTGCATGGTATTCAGCGCTGTGTCCGTTCTCTTTCCTCTATTGCTTCATCCCGGAGGCATTTTGAACACGGCTGTGAACAATGGTAGCTTCGAGGAGGCTTGGGACACCATCGCAAAGATGGAGGCTTGCTTACAAAAGGCACTAGCCCGCCAGACACTGTCACTGGATTCTTACTGGTATGAGTCACGGTATGAGCCTCCTGCACTTAGGAGCAAATGAATGTGCCTCCCGACCACTACACGGCACCAAGCCTGCATTTTGCATCCGCGGCCTGCGCCGGTGATGATCGAAATGGTTTAATCGTGCTTCTGCTTCGCAGGTGTCGATTATGCTCAAAGCGCTGAAGAGGGCAAAGGGACAGAAAGATGTCAGCTGCTCTGAGCGATACCTCGAATGGCAAAGGAGATGCTAGCTGCCGCAAGGGCTGCCACTCTCACAGTGCCAAGGTCAGCCGATGCTTGAACTTCTTGGACCGCTCCCACATCGATCCCTGCTCTGATGAAATTTTGATGAACACGGTGCCTTGGAATGATCTGAAGAATCCTCTGATCTTCAGCCACTCCAGTGCAGCTATGTCCGTGTATTGCACTCCATGTGCTCAGCGGCTGCTTCCTCCGAAGGTTTTGGAGACATACATCCGGCACAAGGAGTTCAGGCGCTGCTGCTCTGAGGGGTTGATGTACCGTGATTATGGTGCACCGCCAACTGTCCCAACTGTACTTGTGGCGTCTTGTGGCATCATGCCCAGGCGGCTAGAGACTCTCCTCCACAAATTCGCAGCTCAGCCTGCAACGACTCAGGAAGCAGCATTTCATTTTTTGCTTGTTTGCCTGTCTCAGGAGCAGTCCAACTTGCGGCCATCGGTTCCCACCTACGGCTCCATCATCAAGGCCTACGCCAACCTCAAGTGCCCCGAGAAGTGTTGGCACTACTGGAATGCAGCTCGGCTGAGTCTGCCTGCGGGGGGTTTTGCCCTGGACAGCCTCCGATTGCGGCTCGCACCAACCTCAGGAGATGCAGGGGCAGCGAGGGCTGGAGCCGAACGACATCGTGTATGGCTGCATGCTTGATGCCTTGGTCTGTAACGGACAAGTCGACGAAGCCGTTCAACTCTTCGACTGGAGCTCAGTGTGAGGCGTGATCAGCGACGCAGGTGTAGACAATCCCGGGGCCCCAGAGGTGATTCTTCCTTTCTTGTCTTTTCTCTGAGGAGAAGAGCAACTTGAAGCCGAATGCCGTGCTCTGCTCCATTCTTGTGAAAGGATTCACAACCACTGGCCAGTCTAAGAGGGCCATGGATCTTTGGCACGACATGCGGCGCAAAGGTGTGCGAATGAACACGGCAGCCTGCAATGCCTTCGTGGATGCGCAAGCACGGATTGGTAACATGGAGGACGTGCTGGAGATAGTTCAAGCTATGGATAAGGACAACTGCCAGCCCGATGGCATCACCCACTCGACCATCGTTAAGGGATACTCCGTGAGAGGTGATCTGGACAAGGCCATGGAAGTCTTGCGTGGCATGCAGGAAAGTGGCGTCTACCATGATGCCATCGTCTACAACACAATCTTGGACGGTTGCACCAAGCACAAGCGATCTGACTTGGTCGACCGGATTCTCCAAAGCATGGAGGAGCACAGGATTGCCCCCACCAACTTCACTCTTGGCATCCTGGTGAAGTTTTACAGCCGCCAGAAGCAGTTGGAGAAGGCCTTTCAGGCCATGGCCTCCCTGCCGAAGCGGGGCAGTTTCGTACCAAACTGCCAAGTGTGGTCGTGTCTGATGGGTGCCTGCTTGATGAACGGATCCCCGGCCAAGGCTTTACAAGTCTTCCGTGACATGCGACAGGCAGGCCAGAGTGCCGACACCCGTGCCTGCACATCTCTTGTGTCCGGCTTGGTCCGAATGGGACAGATGAGAGAGGCTGTCCAGGTGGTCGAGGAGGTTTATGGCCTGAACGGTGGCAAAGGTATGAAGAACCACGGTGTTTCCATTGAGCAAGACTGTTTGGAGAGCTTGCTGGCCGCTTTGGTCCAGAAGGGCCTCCGCGAGGAGCTGGCTGCACCTTTGCTGGAGCGGCTCCGTGCCGCGAAGGTCCAGATCACCGGCAAACTCATGGCTGCCACCCTTGCAGAGGAGCGCTCCCCGGAGCGTGCCGAGCGTGCCGGCCGTCAGTTCAAAGGCCGTGATGGTGGTCGCTTCTGATTCAACCCGGAGCCGACCGCGCCGTCTGCACCGATGCCATGTGCACCATGAAATGCCCTCTGTACAGCCGGGCATAGCTTCTAGGCTGTATTCTCGATCTCGTGTTGCAGACTTTCTGAAGCTTGCATGAAAAGATGTGAGCACGGTTCAAACCGAGGTGCCTTCTTCTACCAGGATCCTCTGGAAGCCTTGGTCGGGAGAAGCACAGGACTGACTTGTTTCAGGCCTGAAATTTTGCATCTGGCTGTTGCGATCTGACCTAGGACCTACTTAGCATGTGTCAGACGTGTTTTTGAGCTTCGCGTGTGTGCAGGCTCCTGCTGACGTCAGGTGGCCATGCAAACTCCCAGCGGTTTGTCTGCTGGCACCTTGCCACGGGGCATCCATCTGGAGACGCCAGGAAAAAGGTTTCGGATCTGCAGAGGTTTGCCTGCACAAGCTTGACATGGAGACAGCAGAAGCTGTGTCGTTTGGTTCATTGATTGGTCGTCCAGGCCATCGCTGTGGTGCAGGCCCGACGTTGCTGCAGCCAAGTGAGTGCCGTGAACAAAACGACCGATTTTGTTGACTTCAGGAGTGCCCCCAGGCACGAGTTCAGTGTCTATGAAAGCCTGAAGGATGTATTCCGATGCCAGTATATCCAATGCACATCTGCCGAGCACAGCCGGTCTGTAGGTGCGAAGCCTGCAAAGTGCAGAAGACCTGGATGCGTGCACGAATTGCCAACTCTTCGTCTTGGTGCGCCAGCGTGAGTGTGAATCTCCCACGAGACGTCTCTCCCGAAATTTGGACGCCTGCTGTCTGTGAAGGTCGGTGTTCATTTCCAGCGGACAGACTCAAGCGGAGACATTTCTAAAGCATGTGAACTACTTGCAGGGGAGCTACTTTGCAGCAAGTGGAAGAAGAAATCAATAGGGCATTGAGACACTGAGTCGTCTGGAGCAGCAACTGAGGCATAGACTCGAGGCCCGACTTTGAAACTGGAAGGCTCGTCTTGGCAGCCGGAACATGCAGTTATCTTTGAAGGCGTTGAAGCCGGAGTGCAAAGTCTTCCTGCAAAAGCAGATCCACAGGCCGTCGCATGAAGAAATGGATTTGGGTAGACCTCAATCGTGATGATGTTTGCAGGTTGGATGCTTCACAGCCAGATTTCAAGCAATGGCAGCAGTGACACGGCTCAGGAATCAGTTCAGTCAGTGAAAGGTCAGCCCTGCTCCTTTTTGCAGGTCGGTATGTGTGGGAAGCTTCGTTTGCAATGCATTCACGTCTTGGAGGAGGGAGGAGGCGCGGCTCGAAGTCTGCATCCAGTAGTCTTATGGTCAAATGGTGCAAGTGCAGGTCTTACACTGGCACAGGGCATTGGGGCTGTCGCCAGCCTTTGACTCAATGAACTGGGACGTGCAGCCGGCACAGGATGCCCCGATGTGCCGACAGGTCCGACAGCTTACAGGACCTGCCGAAAATTGCAATGGAAGTGCTGCTTGAGGAGCGCGACAGCTCACCCTCGAGGCCTGCGGCTTGCCGGCTTGCCCGGCCTGCAAAAACGTTCGAGACGCCAGGTGTTCCAGCACCGAGCAGGAGCTCGGGTCGGAAGATCCCTTGGCACGCCGGTGCCCTGGCGACGCGCCCGACGCGTATGAGGACCTTGCTGACGTTCGCGTGGTGGCAGTGGTCTTCACCGGGCGTGGGTCCCGAATGCGTGCGTTGCTGCCTTATCTACGCCGGGACCTGAGAGCCCACCAGGGAATTCTGGACCGCATTATTTTCGCTCTGGTTCGAGTCCTGAATGCAGACAGCACTTTCTGCTTCATCCAGTCGGACGGGCCTCTGGTCTCACTCCTCGTTGTAATCGTGAGTGCTGAGGACCAGATTCTTGGGCATTGAAACTTGTTGAGCAGATGCAAAGCCTCTATGCGCACAGCCCGAGCTGCATTGAGATCCGAGACTACACGGAAGCTTCGTGGTCAGATTTTCGCCAAGATTCTCCGGCAAACTCGCGTCACCGCATCCCCGTGCTGTACAGATCATTGAATGAGACCAACACGGTGTATGTCAAGGCAAGTTGAGGTGGTGGTTGTTGTTGAGGTGGTTGTTGTTGTTGTGGTTGCTGCTGCTGCTGTTTGCTGCTGTTTGCCCCACACAACTGCGCGCCTCAGATGGGGACCAGGTTGATGACGACATCGTGTTCTTGGCGAGGCATGCCATTGCTGAGCTGGTGCGCGAGAAGCTGCGGCGCCGTTGCATGTTCGTATCAGCTAATGCGCCTGTGCTGCGTGTTGGATGTGATGTCGAATCTGGCTTGAACGAGCCGGACGGAGGTTTTACATAGGCTGGAGTCTATCACGCACCGCCAGCTTTGACCGGCCGTCCGGTAATTCGCAGTTGAAATATTCAGCAGTCCTTCTTCTAAGGTGGTGAACCATGCCATCCTTTCTTCTGTTCACCAAGAGCACGGGGCTCACCGTGGTTTTGAGCCAGAGCACCTGGACGCAGACACTGGCAAGCAGTCATCCTCCAGTGCTTGGATCCGACGCCTGACCTGGTGGCCTAAAGGGAGAGGGAGGGAGAGGGAGGGGGAGGGAGAGGTTGCCTTCCCGGGACTCTTCCATGTTTTGGGCAAGGTGTGGCAGATGTAAACATGGACGCATCCTATGTGTTTGAGCGGCACCCGATGGGCTCTTGCGTTTTCAAGCGCTGGGACTGTGCTGCCTTGGTGCACGAGAGTGACTTGGATTTTTCCGCGACTTGTGGACACCTTTTTTCCGCAGTCACGCTGAGACATCCGCTGCGAGGCTTTTTGGATAGGGAACTTGATGGAACCCTGTGCGCCTTCGACTTTGGCTGGTTCGATTTTCACAGGCCCGAAGTATCCCCGAAACTACAGTTCCCTGCTTGCAGCATGCCGCACAAAGATGCGTGCAGGGCAGGCTTCCGGGAGCACCAGTACGTCCACTTTTCGCCCTGGTCGGGACAGACTTGGCATGCGTCGGGGGCCAGATGGAGCATAAATTTGCTGCTGGGCGGAGGAAGGAACGTCGCACTGTCCAAGCAGGATTCATTCGAAACCGAGGTTCGCGCTGGAGGCTTCAGATCTGCTTGGAGTGGAGACTTGATGGGAAACATGACGCAGCTTCAGACCCTGGGCTTTTTGCGTCGGGAAGTGATGCCACGTGTTTGCTTTCGTAAGGACTGGTCCCGTGTGCATGGGCCTGGAGATGACGAAGAGGAGTTTGGGGGAAACCACGCGGAGCGCACGGGCGGCCACGCCTGCGCAGTTGGGCGGAGCCTCGCCGTCCACTTCTCCTACGCACCGCTCCCTGGCCGAAGATAGTGAAGCGAAGGGCTCAGCAACAAGCTGTTAGCCCTGGCCAGGCAAGAAGAGCGGCTCCTGTCCCAGACGGATCTGTTGCATCGATATGTGGAGCTCGCCAGAACCGGATCTGCAGCCGAATTCTTCTTGGGCTGATTCTGCACATGGGCCCTTGGGCCGCAAGCTCAGCATCTTGTTATCACACAAAACATCTGCCTGGATGTAGAGACAGGCTGGAAATCGTTGCACAACGGCACCACCCCCCCCCCCCACCAAAGCCCACCCGGAACTTAGTCTGTGAACTCGGACAGCAAAGCAGTGCTTTGGCCGAACTCTGAAACGCTTGTGGGGCCGATGATGTTGAAGGACGGGGCAAGTTTGTTAGGCGATGAAAAACGTTTGGAAAAACATGTATCTCTGCGCGGCAACCTTTTGCAGATCGCCCCTTCGTCACTGCAAGTTGCAATCGTCGCTATCATCATCGCTATGATCGTCTTTAGCATCGTCGTCATCGTCATCGTCGTCACCATCGTTATCTTCGTCGTCGCTGTTGTCGTCGTGGCTATCATTCTCGATGTTGTCATGATCGCTATCATCGCCGTCATCATGATGGTTATCACCAGCATCGTCAGCATCTTAGCTACCATCGTCGTTGGCATGGTCGTTGCCATCATGGTTGCCACCATCGTTGTCGTCATCGTCATCAGCATCAAACACTTTGCAACAGGTAATTTAGCTGGTCTTGCTCAGGGTATAACTATCTATCTATCTATCTATCTATCTATCTATCTATATAGTCTATATATATATATATCACCTGCCATGCAGTGTCTGCGGACGTTGCCAAGTGGGAGCCAAATATATATATATATATTTATTTATTTATTTATACACATGTATATAGAGTTTTATCGAGACATGATGTATGTATCCACATCTTTTGTTAAGAGGACCTCACAGGATATTTCATTACGTCGTGCACGACAATGCCTGCATGCTCGCCATGTTCGTGGCGAACCGTTTTCGCTCGGCTCGAGCGACCGGCGAGATGGTGCTCCACCTGCACCGCGTGTACCATGTGCTGGACAGATTGCATTAGCGCAGCCGTCGAGCGTGTCTCGATCCAGCGTGCGCATTGTACAATCCCAGCGTGCGCATGGGTGCGCACCCGAGCCTCGGCGGCCTCAACTCTAGCCAGAACGATCAGTGGAATTTTTGGGTCGAAACGCTCTTGCGGACGACATGAAGTTGAGCCAGTGACCATTATGCCAGGAATGAGCTCCTGCAAGAGTGGTATGGACATGGCTCCTTTTCAGACTAGGTGGAGCTAGCCCGTTCGCAAGCTAAACATTAGTAAAATAATCAAGTCATGCAACGAGTCGCTACAGCGTGGGTGGGGGTTATGAAAGCAACCGCCGGCAAACGCCAACCATGCAAGAATCATTTTTTCCAAAAAGCATTCCCAAAAAGCGTTTCTAAATAAAGGCATTTCTAAAGAATATTCTCAAAAGAACGATGGGTCCACGTGTTCACCAAGGTGGCCTGCTGAGGCTGTTCGGGTGGTACCTACTGGTAGTACTTCGGCCGTAGGACATGGCTGGGGCCAGACCGCACGATTCTAGAAACGTCGGTGTCGGATGTTGCTTGGGCCGTTCTCGGCCTTGCGATGGGCCAAGCCAAAGTAAATCAGTCAATCCATTGGCACGGTAGTGGGAAAACGTCACTGCCATCAAGGCAAGCTAATTTGAGCAAGCGAAGGTTCCGGGTTCGTCGTCGCGCACCTGGGTCATCGCCTGTTCTACCCCTACTTGGCCGGAAACTCTGCGTGGGTGGCAGACCATCTCATGTTCGGCCCGGAGTAAGTGTGTCATGAAGGCATGAAGGTCCGGACGTTGACGAAGTATGCGCTCAGCCACATTGATGCAGGTCAGGGTCAGCTTTTCGAGGTCCTCGTGCAGAACTTGGCAGGCAGATGGCCTAGCTGTGCAGCTAATCCGGTACCATCATCCGAGAAATCATCTCGATGTTCTACATCTACGTGACAGCAGATGCCAAACACCGGCTTCTTGGCCAAGCGACAAGGCGTCCTTGTTGAAGTCCTTCCTGGACTACGTGTGGAGGCAGCAACCTCCGCAACTGGCCTGCCCAAATGATGCAGCTGGAGCACCAGACCGCGCTCTCCTGCTCCGGACCTGCTGTGCGGTGGACAGTGCTGAACAAGAGCATGATGATCAGAGCACGCGAAGACAAGAAGCCTGGCGTGTCATAAAAGGACGCCTTTGCAATTCGTTTTTGTACTGTCTTTGGACGGCTCGGCCTCCGGCTTTCAACACATCGATTCAGAGCATTGTGCGGCAGGCTCTATGGTGCGGCGTTGGGATCCGAGAGTTGCGTTCCGTTCCGGGCGGCTTAGTTGTGCAGGGGTGTGGTAGCTAGCCATGCTTTTTGGGAACATAGCATGTCGATGGTGCGAGCTAGAGCACAAAGCCCTTGGTGCTGGGTCTTTTCTGCAGTGCTTTACCATCGCTCGTCACTACTATCCTGCAGGATGTTTCGGATGAAGTTGACGGGACATGGGCCGACTGTGATCTGAAGCAAGTCTAGTTATAGACTGTTCGGGTCACGACTGGATGTAGCCGTGTTGGATAGTGAGCACAACCTGTGGCAGCAACTGCTCGAGCCCCATTCTAGTCCAAGTTCTCGGGTTTCGATATTTGCCAGCGATGAGGACGGCAGTGACAGTTCCGTGTCCAGGATGTTGTTAAAGTTTCTTGCGGTGAGAATGATGCCCTGCCGTCTTTGGATGGGCCGCGGGGTTGACATTATGAGTTTCCAGCACTTCATGGTGCATGGGACATTCCTTACGCTTGTAACTTGCTTTCGGTGTTGAGCCGCCTCTTCTTTCTGGAAGCAATCGCAGCTCTTGCAGCCCATCGTGTATGTTGGGCTTCGGGAATGTAACATGGAAGGCAGCAGATGTGAGTGAGCACTACGACTGTATCTTTGGCAGCAAGACTTTAGATGGCATTCGCGTGCTTCAACTGGGCTAGAAAGTCAGAGCGGGAAGATAAGCTCAACAGGAAGCTGTTTTGCGTTTAGGTGTTAGGTGGTAGGCGGGCGGATGGCAGGGGCTGGATTGTTGCCATGGCATCGGGGCGTTCTCGCCGTCTTCGTCCCACATGCAGTCGCGATGGCGGAAAGTCTGCTGGCACAGAAGTCCGTCCGCAGCGTTCAAGAATGGCAAGATAGCCTCGCCGACGAGACGGCAGCATTGCGGGATGTCTCGTCCGATGTTTGTTGGCAGGCCGGTTTCACCAAGGAAAAATGCTGTCGTGGGGATGCGTCGACGGCACCTGAGTGTTGGGATGGAAGTTACAGCTTTGGTGAGTGCTGCCCCAATGCCGACTGCTGGGAAGGGGAGTTTTCGTATGACTTCTGTTGCGGAGCCAAGTACGGGCCTGGGGGTAATACGGCCTGCTGGGCTGGCTCCTTCACTCATCAGCTTTGCTGCTTGGCCAATGCGACGTCGAACAGCTGGGCGGATGTTCTTGCATCACAAGTTGAAACGGAGCAGTTTTACAAGATGGACGACTTCTACACTGATGCGCAATATGGAGATGAGTGGGGCTATTATTCGAAGGGGCATGTACTTCTGGGCGGAGGCAAAGCTGGCCAAGGAGACGCGCAGGGCACACAGCAGTTTGCCCATTTCACTACCTATCCCATGGCGCTGTCGCCACACTTTGCAAGAGTCTTCTGCCGCTTGCTCTTCGTGATGTGGGCCTGGTACTCACCGCTGTCAGCTAAGCTGCGAGTGCATTATAGGACTGACAAAGACCAGTTTGCTTCTGAGGTTCAGCTTAACGAGCGTGCCCCATTCCGCGTTGTGGAGATGGGTGCAGGTGCGCGTTGTGCTGCGCATTGGCAAGAGGCTGTTGCGAGCTGCAGCTTGAGCTCTTTAGGTTCCGGTCAGCTGGCCTACGACACCCAGCAGTGTGTGCGAACAAATGCACTGGGGCTGGCGCCCTCTGTGTGGCGTCGCTGGACTGCGGCTTTCGAGCGACCTGGTCTAAGCATGCTTTGCCAGAGGTTGCTGGTGCCATGGATGTTCACCAAGGTATACCATAATGGAAAGGCCAGTCCTGCCGTGTGTCCGTGTGTGTGTGTGTGTGCGCCGCACGAGCTTGTGCGGTGGGTTACGAGACTGTAGTCAAGGCTTTCTCAGATTCTCCAGCCAACACCGCTTTGCAGGTCTCCTGCGCTTCGTAAACGGCAGCAATCTCGAGGACTTCGGTCAGTGTCTGGAGATGCGCAGAGCACGGCTGGAACCTCAAGAAGCTGGGACGGAAGCACGCTCTGACACCGTAACGATGGATTGCGTGCCTTGAGCGAGCTGCGAGAGTTGATGGAAGCCCTTTACTGAGGCCAGTTGCAAGTCGGTGTTAGCAGCACTGGCAGCGTCAACTGCGTGCCAAGGACACAGCCATTTGCAATTTTTTTTCTGTGATGGAAGTCTTTCTGAAAAAGCCAGGCGCGGAGGGCTTGGATGCCCCAGAATGCGAGGCGAGAGATCGCGGCACGGCAGAAGCGGGTGCTTCTGTGGTAGCTTGGCTTAGCTGCATTGATGGTGGCGCATGCTGCTGATGGACTGTGAGCAATGTCGGCGACACACCTACACCTTGCCTGGAGCAAGGTACTTTCCAACGAGCTGCTGGATGCCTTTGCGCCGGTGAAGCTGCGGTCCGGCCCCTTTTTGTACTTGTATCTCGACTGTCATCACATACCATGCCCAAAGGTTTGGTCTTTATGGAAAACCGAATATCACCGACTGTGGTTGCCCGACCGCACATGAAGGGTCACGATGCATCCGGTCGATTGTGGCATCCTTGGCACCTGAGATCTGAGCAGAGGTTCCTGGCAGGAAGTACGAGTAGTGCACACGATACCGGAGGACAATGAGAGCTTGGGGGCCCCGTAGGGCCCGGCGCTGATAAGCACCTGCAGGACAGGCTGCACCAGCTCTTGATGGTCATGGGCTTCTCGGAGGCTGGAGCTCATGATGCTCCACGATCAATGTCGAACAGCTGTCGCATCCACCTGACAGGCATGGACGGAAGGAACGATTCAACAAGTACGCAGCTACACTGAGAGCACCTTCTGCGTTGTTCGCTCAGCCGTCATCGGCCCCTGTGTTGCACCCTGCGTGTTGTGGCAGCGCGCCGTGCAAAGGCCATGGCCAACACATCCATCGGCCGTGAGGCTCAGGAGAAGGCCTTGCACGGATTCGTGCACATGTGTCTCTCTCTCTCTCTCTCTCTCTCTCTCTCTGTCTCTCTCTCTCTCCCTCTGTGGGGGTGTGTCTGCCGGAGCGGCAAGGTAGCTGTAAACACGTCGTGTCTGGCCATTGCCTTCAGCTTGAGTGAGTTGGTGAACCACTTGGATCTTGGCAGCTTTGCTGCGGTGGCAATAGCTACTTCTTGCAGTCTCGCTCCGTGAAGCCGGCTCCTGACGGGCTAAGGAATCCCCTTCGCATCGCACAATATGCGGATGCGGATAAGGAAGGACTCAAAACTATCGGATCGACTCCGCACAGTCACCAGTCGTCTGGACAGACACTTGTCTGCAACGGGCTGCTCTGACCGCAGTGCTTCGAACACATCGCAGCGAGTCGGTGATGCTGAGGTGAGCTGCGAAGTTCTGTGGCACTGCCTCGGGACATTTATCGCCAGGTCGGAATAAGTTCAAGAGAAGGCGACAGCGACGGGGTGTGTCTTGTCGCCCGCACTGCCTTCGGCAGGTGCGCCACCAGCTGCGCCATGTGCCCAGATGCTTAAAAGGGTATAACTTCACGAGACTTGGCAACTGTTGGCATGAGGTGATTTGCCAGATGTGGAGGCCGAGTTCCTGCACGCGACGCAGACGCACCTGCTCCCGGTTTCCCTGTCGCAGGCGAGAGGGAACCTGGGAGGGTTTCAAAAAGGGATTAGGCCGACTTGCGGTCAGTTTGGCCTTCTCAACGCGGAGGAGCGCTGCGATGAGCTTGCCTGGTGGTTTGATGCCCATGAGCCACGCATAGCTCGCCTGGCCTTGTTCTACAGAAAGCTGGGTGGAGATCTCAACAGACTTCCCAGCACTTCCTTGGCGCTGCCCCGTGTCTAGTTATGTTTAGCTGAATCTGGCTCAGGCTATCCGGCTGTCCACGTCGTCGCAACTTGTCCGCATGCTGTGCAAGCCGTGAAAACCAGTGATGCTAGCTGCCATGGGTTTTTGCTTCATGTCTGAGGTGCGACCAGGGGAGGACACGCTGCACACCACGTTCGCTTCGTTGTTCGATGTTTACCCTGCAGGACAACTTCATCGACTTGGTAGACTGTCTCCTGGGCCCTACTGGCGGCTACAAGCTTAGTCTCGATTACGGTGCCAACTTCGAGGCCCATTGTATGCATGTAGGTTTCTGGAAGAGACGGGTTGACTTGTCGTGTCGGGCAGGGATTGGTCCATAGCCTCAGCGTCGATGGAGACAATGATGGTATCTTCGTGCCACCGATCCCGCATGACTGCCGAATGACATTGCATGGATATTTTCCTTGCAGCATTTGCACGAGAACGGAGTCTGCGCGCAGGAACTGATGGCAGGTTTGCCGGAATGCCATAACTTCTGGCCAAAGTGCTGCCTGCTCGCACCGGAGGATGTAAGAGGCCGAGTGGAAATTGTGCATGGCGTTGCATGGCATTCATGGAAAGGTGCTGGGCGCATTGACTGGACCACTTTTGTGGACTTCACGAACTTGGCAGCTGCCGGTGAGAGGCGCGGATGGCGGACGTTGCGCCCACTCTGCAAGCATTCGGTGTGTCGTGTCTTGAGTTGAGCATCCACAGCACTTCGAGAACAGCCCAGGTTCTACGGTCCCCAGAACCTCCTGGAACAGTTCAGCAGGTTGAACTTGACTCTGCACGTCCATCAGCAGCACTGGTTTCTGTTTGGGATGCTCAGCAGCGCGCTCGTGCAACCGAGGGCAAGTCCTACTCAGTTCCCGGCTATGCCGTGTTGCAAGATGATTGGATCTCTCGTCACATAAAGGGTTGGTACGGACGGGAATCAGCCACTTGGGCGCACTTCAGATGCGACAGCGGCACCAGATCCAAGATTGAGACAAAAGGACATGGATGGTACCGGAGTGCAGAGGTCAGGAGCTCACAGTGTGAGTGGCTCCCTATCGATGGCTCTTGTCCTTTGAGTTCTTCAGGTGGACATCGTTCAAAGCACTCCTTCTGGAGAAGCCATCCGCCAAGCAGGTTCCAACACCAATCCTGTTTCCGCGACTCGCCTGCAGTCCTTTGGTGCTTCCTGCCCTCTTCTGTTATGTCTTCTCGAAGCCCGCACCACTGGCGAGGTCCTGGCACTTGGACACACGATTGGTGGATCCATGCTGGAGTTTCGATCCATCGACGGTAGCACAGCTGCACCTTCGGTGTCGAGGCTTGTGGCTAGATAGTGTGCTTACGGCTTTGCAGCACCAGGGGCTTGCCATGTCCATGTCTCGCAACTGCTGAAGCGTCACGGCATGATGGAAACCACAGGCTGAGTTTGCGGGGCTCAGGTGCCGCTGGCCGATTGGATTCCTCGGCAGGGCAACGATCCACACGAAGCGCTTCTCAAGCTGACGGATGAAATTAACAGCGGCCTCGGGAGACTTCTGACAGCAAACGGCCACAATGAATAGACCTACTTAACGCCTTGCGGTTTCACGCCTAATCATGTTCTGAAGGGGCCAGCCTGCGCCTAGTTTCCACGCGAACCGTCACGACCTGTTCTGGCGCATCCCAGGACAGTATGCTGAAGGTTACGAAGAGGCGCAGTTCGGCACTCAGAAAGTACTTGGATACTGGGAAAGCTCAAGTAGATCTTTGCCAGAATGCAGTGCGCAGACGCCGAAAACCAACAAGGTTGGGCGTTCGCCTTGTAGACTTCATCGTTGCCAAGTCTGGCTGCGACACGCTGCGTCCAGAGAATGCGGCTGCGGTGCTGGAGCGTCCCAGTAATTGGCAAGCGCTGCGCCACTCGCCAGCAAGATGCCACCGTGAGAGTCCACCAAGCCACTAAGCCCATGGGTCAACGGCCACAGAGCTGGGAGTGCGCCCGAGTCTGAGCAGGACGGCGTTTGCTGCGAAAGTGGGGGGAGATGTGGGGCGAGGACGCAGAGCCCGGGTGCGAGGCACAAACAGGCGCTTAGTGTTTTCGTGAGAGTCTGAGCCAGGAGACGGTCTCGCGCGTCGCTTTGGATCTCTTCAGAAGGTTGGCAGATGATGGGCCGCATCTACCCGCGTCTCCTTTCGCATGTTTCTCCGGCAGCGTTTATCCCCGCTTGTCACATTCACACAGGGCGAGCAGAACTCCCGCCAGGTGCCGGTCAGCAAGCAATGATGCTCCTATGCGATTCCCCCGGCGGTGGTAGCAAGACAGGGCCATTGCGATGAGCCCCGCTGCATCACGGCATCTCGGCGTCAGCGACGAAACAAGGACTTCTTCGAGTTGAGCTCGCTGGGCTCCATGCAGAGCTTCGAGCGATTTCGAGCGCGTCGTGCCATGCCAGCTTCGACGGGTCCATCGCGCCATGCCCACATGCACAGTGCGTGCAGTGGCATGAAAAGCAGCGGCTTGTGTGAGCCCAGTGTGGCATCTCTTGCGGCATCTTGCGGCACTGGTCATGACCTGCACTGGCTGCTTTCAGCAGACATGCTGCCCATTGCAGCAGTTGGGCTCCAGGTCAGCAGCGAAACTTAACAGTTCCAGGCCCACGAAAAGGAAGGATGGACAACCTCAGTTCTGTTCGCTGGAGGTAGGTGAGTGAGACAGTACTTAGACCGAATGAATCTTCAGGCACCAGTGAGGAACAAAAGTGTTGGAGTTCATTAAGCGGTCCCTGCAACATAGCAGCAACTAGACTAACAAGACCGTGGGTGCATGTGTACGATCTGCGCAGTGACTTGCAATCTTTTATCGGAGAAGTTGGTGCATCAGCGCCGGAGAGTCAGGAGAGCTGACCTACAGCATGCAATAAAAGAATTCGTAAAGATCCGGAAACACTTCCACGTGGCGTGATGGTGGGGCCCAGTTATGCCAACTGGGTGGAGGTGCCAGTAATTGATCTCTCGGACGACGAGGAAGTCCAAGAGACAAGCCCCCCTGCAAAGCGACGTTGTCTCTTCAGTCCGTCGACGAGTGGCATACCCAGGCAGGAACCTGAGGGACCAAGGCACGCTTTGGGCAAGCCTCAGTCGGCCCTTCGCTGTCTTGGGACTGCCATCTTCCCGGAAGCCAATGCAGACTTCCTAAGGCATTTGGAGGATCAGGGATTTGCTGTGCTGCAGGGCATCTTGGGAAGCACGGGCAGCTGCCAGGCTTTCCTGCATGAGTTCTGGACAGCTATGAAGGCCGTGGCGCCAAGCATCGATCCCACGCAACAGAGCACGTGGAATTTTCCAAAGGGTTTTCGGGGCATCGTCACAAGTTACGGGCTTCCGCAAGCAGATTTCGCTTGGTCGATACGAGCGCACCCACGGGTTCACACTGCCTTCGCCCGCATATTTGGTACGACCGACTTGGTCGTAAGCCTCGATGCGATCATCGCAGAAGCACGACCTGCGAAAACCAAGCTGCAACCCTGGCTTCACAAGGACCAACATCCTTCGCATGCCGGTCTGTCGATACAAGCCGTCTACACACACTTCGGCAGTGCATCCGGTGAGTCCGGAACCTGCGTAGTTCCGGGGTCGCACAGGGTGACCTATGATTGGGAAAGGAGCGCCAGGTCTGATCACGTCCGTGCACCTGAGGACACTTTCCAGTCTCAGGTGCTGAAGCCCGACGTGCCGCCGGACAGCATGATCTTCTTCAACTCACGCCTTGTGCATGCCAGTCAAAGTGGTGCGCAGGCGCCTTCCCAACGTCCCGCAAGGCTGGGCGTTTGCGTGGCCTACGCGCCTCGTGCGCGGCGCTCTGAGGCAACACGGCGCAAGAAGGAGAAAGCGTACCTGGAGGGCAAGTGCAGTTCGCATTGGCCCTGTGACCGGTTTTCCTTGAAGCCTCCGCTGAAGCAATATCAACTTCTAAAAGGCGCTACCAGCTTGCCGCCCCCACCTGCAAGTGGCCAGCGCTTGTCGTTGTTGTGAGTGAGACGAATGAAGTCCGCGTGGCCTGCAGGCTCGGAAAAAATGCAGTGCACCCGAGCTAAGAGCAGTCTGCCGAACGAAGTGGCACGAAGCTGTCTAATGGAACTCGTGGACCTGCAGCCATGGGCTTCAAGCCAAGCTGGGCCAGCCTGGCCCAACCGTTTGTTGGAATCCATTTTCGTAGCACTGCCGCACCCCTGGAAGGGAGGAGGGCGCTCTTTTCATGTGGCCTTAAAGTCAAGCTGCCGCATCCTTTGAGGATGCCGGCATACGCCATCGTGCTGGCAGTCCTTCAACTCGCCCATGCTGCAGAATTTAAGGAGATGTCGGCGAGCGTGCCGTGAGTCCTTTTCTTATCTTTCTGCCCGCTCTGTTCCAGGCCGTTCACGTATCGGCAGATGGCAACCCTGAAGCCTTGCATCTTGGCAGATATGACGCCGCCAGCACCCGTATTCCATTCTGTCTGCCAGGCGGTGCGCATGATTTTTCTCGCTTGTGTTGCCTTTGAGGCCAATTCGCGGTCATTCCGCGGGCTATGTGAGACGAGAACACAGGTCTCAGGACTGCAGAAGGGTTCAAGAGGGGCAGAGCCGACAATCTGATTGCCAAACTGCAGGATCCGAGCTTAGCACAGCTTGTGCCGCAGCCGGTTATTAAGGCCAGGCGTTGACGTCCCTGCGGCTTCCTCTCCTTGCTGCTTTGAGAGCCTGAGCTCGATAGTCTCAGGCCGTAGAAGATGCCACCCAAGCAGTGTCGCATGCCAAGCCGGCACCTGGGCAGCAACCTGCTTCCCTGTCTGCCGCAAGCTCATAACAACGCCCGTTCCTTTGGGCAGGACAGCGGGATTGGTATCTGGAAGGACTGCTGTAGCTTCCTTCATCCGGTTCCTGCTGTGTGCTTTGTACCGCGCGGGACAGGCCGAGGAGAAGCAAGCCTCAATCGTGGCTTGTCTCCACCGCAAAGTGCGACAGAAGGCCACCATGCGAGTCCGCAAATGTCCAAGCTCCGAGGCCATGTCGCTTTCGCTATTGGCCTCGCTGAGCTTTGTTCTGTGCTTTGGCGGCACCTTCGGGCAAACCTTCGGACATGCGCTTGCCCGCGCCTCTCCGAGGACGGTCTTCTACATGTGGAACACTCCCGCCCTCCAGGTGAGCATCAGGGCGGGAAGGATCTCTTGTCCTGCTGTCTGTGCGGAACCTGGAAGGTTGCCACCAGAAAGGTCCTTGTCTCCAGCATCTCTCTGTTCTCGGTGGTGCTCCTCTTCATGGTGGCTGAGCTGAGATACGCAAGTCTCACGCCTATCTTGGATCTGTGGCACGTGTGTGCTCGTCGGAAGGTTATGAAAAAGCTTTGGAAGCTGGTTGCGCGAAGACCTAAGTCGAGACATGCAGCGGCGGTAGCTCTGCTTTCGTGGAAAGACCTCGTCCCTGTGCCAGGGGTTCGACGTCGAGAGCTTGGTTTTGTCGCTGCTTGGGGGCTCTGCGGCCTGCAGCTCTGCCCAGGTCGAGTGAGTCTAGGATCCTGAGCGACGTCTTCTCCTTTCTACGCTTCTTGATACTGTGCACTGGCCAGCGTTGCGGAAGCGTGTTTCAAGCAAATTGAACTCTGCGAGTGGTACGTGTGGTCAATGCAAGAAAGTGTTGTTTTTAACGCCCTCACAAGGTACCTGTTGCCCAGCGTGCCAGCGCCTCGAAGAGCCGGTGCAGAGCAGAGCCGACTCGCATTGACCGTGCGCAGCCTGCGGAAGCGGCTGGAGAAGCACATGGGGACCGACCGCATGCGAGCCTTTCAGATCGCAGGCTGAGGGTTTGCAAGTTGTTTGGGGTAGTTGGAGTTGCTCTCAGCGCCAGTGAGCCCTTCCTGCAGGAGTGCACCTCATTGGCTTTGCAGGTGCGCTGGTGTGCTTGAGACCGTGGCATCGTTTGCTCCTCTCATTCGGAGTGGCCTTGTGCTCTGGAATCGCCTTGCTCAGGGGCCGATGCTTTCTCAGATTTTCTGAAGATAGAGGTGCCCAAGCTGCAACATATGTACGCAACACGGCCACAGGAACTGTGGGGTAACACCGTGCCAGATGAGATTTAATTGCCTACTGCCTGGCACAGCGCAGCTTGCCAGTTGTCTTGTCCGTGCCCGAGCTCAGGTCTTCAGTGCCTCCCCGTACGGATACTTCTTGGGAGCGAGAAGCTTGCTCCCACCCTCATGTGCCAGGGCACGAGATGTCAGATGCCAGTGAGGTCGGCTGCATGACAGTGTTGCCGGACTCAGTTTTCTCGTGTGGTCACTGCACAGAGGGCAAAGCATCCGCGCAAAGCATCTTGCGTCACGCGAGGCTTCTTGGCCTCATGAGCTGGGTTTCGGCGAAGCTGAGGAGTGTCAGTCACACGTTTTGGGTTCCTTCCCCATGTCTTATGGAGCCGTGTGCGGAGGAAGGAGCCTCAAACAGCGGAGGCCCGCGGCTTGCATGTCGCAGGCCAAGGCCCTTGGTCTTGTCAACCTTTTACAGGCAACCCCTCTCGCAGAGCCCGGGGCCCAGAGCACTCAAAGGCAAAGCTGGCGCACGGCTTGACCGGAGATCCGCGATCACTGCACGCAAGGTCCGATGCGACACAGGCAAAGATGTCAAAAGCTTGCGCCCCTTTCTGTGCGTCCTGTCTCGCAGGGCGACGCAGGTGAGCATGGTGCCTAAAGTTGACTGCGCCTGAAAGCATTGAAACGCATTGAAACATGGACTGACTGCACTGAGGGCTCCGCAGCCAGAGGCCGGTTTTTATTTTTCGGTCAGAGCAGGGCCTGAAAAATCTTCGCCGCTCTGATGAGGGCGAGACCTCAGCCTCGGCAGCCTCGGGTCCGGAAGCGTGCTCCTGGCTGGTTGCTCCACCAAGCACTGGGGTCCCGAGCAGCTTGCCAGGTCCGGCATTCCTCAAGTCCTGGAGACAATGGAGGTTGAGATCGCAGGCTTTGTTGTTAAGACCTCGGTGCATACTGTTGATAGTTCTTGGGCGGTTAGAAGCCATACTTTGGTGGCAAGGTCGGGTTTCTGGCTTCGATGTGGGTGCGCTTCACGGTAACTGGAGCCAGAGCCCTTGAACCGTCCCCTGATGCACTCAAAAGATGCCCACTGGACGTATTGCTTGGTTCCGCGCAAACGACTCCGAGGCCGTGCCTGGGGCCAGGTTCAGGCACGGTGAAAGTCTACAGATTTCAGGAGAAGATGTGCCGGGACCTTGCAGTGCCGTGTGGATGCATGGCAGGGTCGTGTCGGTCAAATGGCTGATGAAGGTCATGGTTGTTTTGCTTCTGCTTGGCCGCCTTCTTCTTTGCCGCAGTTCTCGTGACCCGTCCCAAAACAGAGCGAGAGAAAGGGAGACCGAACAGACTTACAGCAAGCTTCGGGATAGCTCCATGCCTTGCAGAACGAAGAAGGACTGTACATGGAAGTGGAGCCTGGAGCTGTTCAGCCTTTCTCTCAGGTGAGGCTGCCGGCCGGTGGGTACGGGCCTCAGGCATACGCTGCCTCCACGATTGCGAGAGTCTCAGCCGTGCAGGTCCTCGGGAACAAGAATGCAATATTTCCTGCAGCGAAGTCGCAGGCTGCGCATACTCGAAACTGTTGCACCACGCCTCAACCTTGTATTTTGCAGAGGACGTTGTCCGAGAGTCTGCTGATGTCCTTTGCTTGGCTCGTGGCTTGCCGGCAGTGTGCGCCCTGCGAAGCCCGTGCACAGTTACCTTTCTCCTGTCAGTGAGGTCTTCTTCCTTTGCCAGTCACTTGCTGGCACCGGTCGTCAAAGGCCCAGGGGGTCGAAGACGTGGCTGCAAACGCGAGGTGGTTCCTTTGGCACATCACAGCCGATGGTGCGGATGGCTCGCACCACACGGCCAAGCTCACGGCCTCGAACGCTTTGGCTCTCCTGGCATCAGACTCCTGGCAGAGCAGAGCTCGCGGCAAGCGTGCTCTTTTCCCTTTCTTGCCGCTTCTGAGGCCTTGGTCTTCCTTCCGATGGTTTTTGCAAAGCTTCTGGGGAAAGCAGGCGCAGCCACGGGGGCCACGGAATCTCGGACACACCCCGCCTGCCATCAGATTGGATTCTTTCCAACTCCGAAGCTTTCGTGAAAGTGGCGGCTCTTGTCCTGGGCTTCTCCTGGGAGACCGCAGAAGCATGCCTGCAAGCAGAGCACCTCCGAGTCTCCACTGCTCAAAGCCGATGAGATGTCGGAGATAGGTCTACATGGTCGTGCAGGGTGCCTCCGAGAGCACAGAAGGCACTTTCCTTTCTTCCGCTGCCACGGGTGCTCTTGTGCTCTTCTCGCATTGTCTTTGAGCAGAGACCCTCAGGTGAGGCTACAAAGAAGTTGCTTGGGATGCCCGATTCCCAGGAGGCGGGATCCAAGATGTGCTTGTGCAAACCCGGCTTGCCCAGTGCGACGATCTTGCTCATCCTCCTCTTCATTTTGCCCGGGCATGGCTCCAAGTACCTGGGTCGTGCTTAGCATTGCCGATTCCCGCTGTCATGGGCAAAGGTGGTACATGCACATGCTGCCCGAGCCGAAGCCCGAACAGGAGAAGGACCAAGCAGCCCAAACCACAGAGTCTGTACACTGCGCGAAGTCTTGACATCTGAAAAAGGATCCAGTGGCCAAGGAAAAGGCAGACGAACCGTGGCATGAAATCTTCAGGTTTGCACTGTCCTTCCGGTCCCGTAGACGCGCATGGACCGATTGCGCCTGGCCGAACACTACGCAGTGATGTGCCACTCCGGAGCCAAGGAGGTATCAACCTGATCTCCGACCTGAGGTCTTGCTGAAATTCGCACTCGGCCTGCCAACAGTTACAAGGGCGACACGATGTACTGTAGGTCGGGCTATTCAACTTTGGAAGGCCGTGCTCCCCCCGCACTGTCGGTATCCATACAGACGCACTCGCGGCACAGGGTATCCGAGAAATCAGGGACTGCCGAAGTGGCATGTTGTGCGAGGGTCGAAACATGCATGTCTTGCAAGCCTTACAGCTCAGCTCGGTGCATGTCCTGTCGCCAGCACAGCTCAAGTGCAGAATCATTCTAAAACTCCAAAAGAGTGTGCCCAGGCCGAAACCGGGTCAGCTGGCCAAGTTGTCAGGTTTCTTGCTCTCGTCGCTTCGGTCGCGTCGTGCAGGAAAGATGCGGCTTTTGCTTCTCATGCTGCTGATGGCAGCTCACCTGCCAGTTGCCAGCAGCTGATGTGCAAAGAAGGCCACCGGCCCCCTGCCGTCACTGAGCAGCTGAGCCCTAGCTCTGAGAGACTCCACCTCACGAGGCATGGAGGCCTTCGTGTCAATGTGGCTGTTGCGATCCTGCTTGCTGTGGAATCTGCAAAAGCCACGGCTGCCCAGCCTACGACAGCCGGCTGCTTTCTCCATGGTGGCAGAGCATAGCCTGGAAATGAGCTGCACTGAGCTGCACGGTTGTTTTCGACTCAGGTGTGGAAGCCAGGCCAAGGGGGGGGGGGCGGGGTGAGCAGGGGAGCCGCCGGGGAGTCTTTGCAGTATGGGGCCGTGGGTGAGGAGGCTGCGCGGAGAGGTGTCCCTACGAGGAAAGGGCGACACTTCGGCTGCAGCAAGGAAGAGGAAAAAGTGGAGACAGCTTTGGAGCATCCGGCACTGGAGCTGAGGCTGAGCCGATCGACTCGCAAAGCGAGGCGGCGCCCGTCTCCGAGCAGGCACAGTTCCCAGAGCTTGTGTGGTGCCCGCATCAAGCTGCTGATTGAAATCTCCAAGGCAATTGAAGCCGAAGCCGCTACAGAGGTGTAGACACACATTGGGCAGAAGTGCACCTCCGCAGATTCTAGTCAGCCAATCGGAACGTGGCTAACAACGCCATGTCCCATCATAAGCGATTGTGCAGTGCTTGGTCCTGCTGCATGTCGGTACTGATGATCGGCTTGCGCTGCTGGGTCTGAACGGATAGAGACTGCCAACTCACGACCATACTGCTTCAGCCAGAGCGCATGTCGTGAGAAGTAGCGGCAAACAGCCCAAGCTTTGCCAGAGGTAGGTTGTCACTTGAGCTGTGGTGAGAAACAGGAAGTGCTGTAGCACTCTTCGCTGCTGATTTCGTCCAAGCTATACTACCCGACCCAGCGGCCAGTCTTCAAAAGGTCCAGACGATATCTTTTGAGAGAATCCGCTGGTAGAGGCCCGACCATCTCGAAAAGTGCATAATACATGCCAGAGATGGAGCCAGAGTGTCGACGGCATGGACTTCCTGAGCATGACAGAGACGCTTGGCTCAGTGATCATGGCCCCAGATGCTATGTTCTCTTGTGGGCAGTGTTTTGACGATGCAATGTGTCTTTGGGCAAGGCGCTGCTGCGAAAGTGGGCTACTTGGCTTCCCACTGGCAGTGCGGAAGTTCCGGCTCGAAACCCCTTGGCAGTGCCATAGATGCTGGCTGGCTTTCCTGATGTTGGCGTCGGCTTTGGAGATTCCTTGTTGTTGAGCTCTATAGCGGTGTGAATCGATCTTCTCAGGATGAGTCTATGCAGAGCCAAAGTGCCCGAAGAGATTTCTCGCGGCTCCTCAAGCTTCTTGCCGGCATCTTACATGACATTATGCTGTCGCTGCCTTATCTGTGCTGCCATGGTTCTCTTTCCAGTGGTCATAATTCCACATTGCCCCTCAGCATCATAGTACTCCATGCGCTCCGTATCGTAACAACCCACGGTTGGTGGTTACATGCCCTCGTTTGTTCGTTGTCTTGTTTTGTTCTTTCGTAGCCGTCCGTGAGAACAGATGCAGCATTGACCCACAATGTAGCATTGAGTACAGAGGTCTTCGTGTTCTCCTTTAACAGTGATGAAAGGCTAGTTAATGGTAGCTTCATAATAGGTAGTCATATCAATAGTAACACCCCCCTCCCCCCACCCCATCCCCTCGAGTGTTTTCAGGCCCCTGCAAGGTTGATTGATTATTCAGGGCGGGGCCCCTTTACTAGCTTGCTGACTCTCTCTCCGGGACTCCGGGAGTGCTCCGGAAAGGGCCTCAGGTGTTGGTCTAGGAACCCGAGACGGGATTTTTTGTTGCGTTCTCGGGGATCGAGTTTTATACTTGAGGGGGGGGGGGTGATGATTGAGTTCTGGCGGTAGAGTTTTATAACTGAGCGGGGGTTCATAAATTTGAAGTTAACAACAATTATGATGCACCATGTCTTCGCCGATCTGGACGAAGGCATTTATTGTACTGTGTTGTCTGGTCTGTATCTGAGCGGTGGGCGGTGTTGTGTAGGTGCAGTCCGAGGCATGTAGTCTGATTCTGTGCCTCAGCATGCTACACTAAAAATCTAAAAACAGCAACAACCCCAGTTGAAACACTAATAACTAATAACAATACGAACAACAAAATGATGAAGGTAAAACGTTAGAGAATTTGTTCCTAATGATAACACACAGAATAAGACTACATACTAGTAGCAGTATCAAAAATAGCAGCAACTATAGACTAAGATTTTTTATACGAATCACAACATACTTACAATATTAGCAATAATGAGAAGCATAACAGAAGTAAGAGCAATGAGAAAATATCATGACTAGTAGCAACAACACTTTTAGGGGCTGTGCCAGGTGCGGGCAACGCAAGCAGCCAACCCGGGACCTTTCCCAGAAATTCGGAGTCCCATCAAGGCGCCCCAAAAGCGCGCATCATGAGCATCAGAGGGGGGCCGCTTGTCATCAGAGACAGAAGCGCGAAATCGAAAAAATGGTTTTAACAGCGCTCACCACACACACCCACCCAAGGAGCCCATACACCCCCCAGCTGATACGCATGACGCACACGCGCGGGGCGCCACACGAAAACCTCGATCTCTACAGCGTTTTCGACTCTTGCCAAGGACAACGAAAAGGAGCAAATCGCACTCAGCTGAAGCCCCACCCATGTGCATGCAAGGCCACCAAAAAAGAGAGGAAAGAGTCGCGATGATGCAGGGCGGCGTTGCCTTGCAGAGGCTTCGCCTTTGGAGCTTCGCTAAGCTCTCGCGGCCACAAGAACGAGAGTATTGCATAGTAGTGAAATCAGTCGACCAGAGAGGCTGCCAACATGCAAGGCACTCCTCACAGCTAGCTCCTTTCAAGATACCTCGTCACAGGCTTGAGTTCGCTTGGAGTTGCTGCGTCAAAGTTGCATAGGGCCGCCCCCCTTCACAGAAAAAAGAAGTAGTAAGAATAGGAGCAGAAACCACCAACAAAACCACAATAAACAACGAGATACTGAGACTCCGAGCAACAAAATCAACAATAACAGCAATAACAAAGATAACAACAGCAACAAGAACAATACTTGTAACAACAACCGTAATGAGTACAGGAGATGAGCTATGGCCTGGCTGAGGAAAATTATCTTGTTCGAGCAAGCTTCAGATGATTTTCGACATTCTCTGTGCGATGCTGTCGTGCCCGTGGAGTATGCGCGGGGCGCGACGGTTTTCAAGCAAGGCCAAGCAGGACGCGACCCAGTGCCAGCAGAACTTCTGTTTCTTTGGTCCTTGGCCAGAAACATGCCGAAATCTTGAGGAGAATGGATGTGCATACTGCTGTCTGGTAGACTGGAGAAGACGATCGTCCGAAATCCGTCTTCGCCAGCGATTGTCATAGGCGTCCGGCACTATTTTAAGCATAAGGCTAGTTGGCATGTAACCACAGGGCCAAGTCAGTGCATGTCGCACGAGGCGAAATTGCACCAGGTGGCATCTGTGGTGACGCAGGCAGCTGTAGCGGAGGATGCTCCAAGCAGCCGGAACATCACACCTGGCTCAGGTTTACTTGGGGTGATGGAACTGCGAAGCCACAGCTGCCGGTGCTCAGAAGACTCCTCATTGCTGATGCTGTCTCGCACCGCCTTCTTCACCTTGGTTGACATGACAGGACAGAGCTGCTGTCACATTGTCTTCAGCTGAGTCCCTTCAGTGTCAGGAGGCCTGGACGAGTACCCCCTGTTGAAACATCTGGAGAAGATGCAGAACTTGATAGGCATATTCGCAGTTGGCGACACAGAAGTGCAAGTCCCGTACATAAATCCTTCTCCTGTTGGCGGCAGGTGACACGGATGCTTTCCTCAATTTGCCCTTCTTTGCGAAGTTTGCTTCTTGCTTGCATAGCTAGTAGCAGTGAGTGAGCGGAATCTGGCGGAACCTCACCAAGCATTCAGGAGCGGGACTTCGTGAAACACATCTGCGAGTACCTGGAGCCGAGGCCCGTGCCCAATTGAGATCAATGGTGTAGATGATGTTTGAGCCGAGTTTGAGGAATTCAACGGTGGGCAAGTACCGGTCGTCCTTAATTCCGACCTCAGAGGTTGTACTATCCCGGCATGGCCGTGATGAAGGCTGGGCAATGTTCTGCACGGAGCCTTGCACAGTGCCCAGCTTCCTCAGGAGGGTGAAATGGGATTTGAGATGTTCATCGTTCACGCAGGCAAGGTGGAAGTCCTGTGCCTCGGCTGGCGGCCGCTGTCTCGCATGTTGCTGCACCGCACGGGACCAAGGAAGGGCAGCAAGCCAGTGGCTGAACTTGGTGGTGGGGTGGTTCTGGGCATCTTGTCTTGGCATAGTTGCTATTTCCTTCAGAGTGGCTGGAATGGCCGTGCTAACGTGAGCCGTCGCAGGGGATGTTGCAGTTTTCGGATCGGACAAGCGAAGAACTGCCACTGCCGCTTGCCTGGAAGCTATGCAGAAAGCAACTGCAGATGCCTAGCGGACACTCCGCCAAGAAACACCAGGTGAAGTGCCTGGAGCCTACTATGATTTATGTTCTGAATGGGGACGTCGTGCACCAAACCTTGGAGTTGCAACTAGGCGGCAAGGGCTTTTCACACCGCGTGCCAGGCCCAAACCGAAAAGGACTTGACTTGACCGTTCCTCAAACACTGTTGACCTGGTTGTGACTGTTGGAACTTTGTAATGGGTGGTGAATTCCAACTGTGTGGGGACTTGCCGGCGCTGCCTATTCCTGCTCACATCGCTTCCCGTGTGTTGAGGTGGGGGTGTGATTGCCGACGGCCCAACGAATAAGAACTCCTCCTCCTCCTCCTACTTCCACTCCTAGTCCTTGTCCTGGTCAAAAAGTCCTCCTCCTCCTCCTCTTACTTCTACTGCAGCTCCTACTACCACTGCTACTGGCACTTGCTAGTACCAGTGCGACGACTGCTGCTGCTGCTGCTGCTGCTGCTGCTGCTGCTGGTAATGCTACTGCTGCTGCCGCTGCTGCTACTGCTCCTACTGCTACTACTGCTACTGCTGCTGTTGCTGCTGCTGCTGCTACTACTACTACTACTACTACTACTACTACTGGCAGTGATGTCTACTATAGTGAGTACAGTGAGTGCTGCCGACACCTTGTACAGATGGTGCTCTGATGCCTTGCAATGAACTGTTTTGCACTAGGGGAGGCCGCGAACTGTGGGGCCTGTGTGAGACGGAAAGCTGACTTTGCAGGGAGCTGGCTGTTCTTCCTTTCGCTGGCTCTGGTGTATGGGGGTTGGCTTACCAGCTGTGAGACCTGCATTATGTGGAGTCGTGCGCGACACTGCCAAGCGGGAGCCAAAATACAACAACAACAACAACATCATCAACAACAACTAGGAAGCACGTGAGTCTGCCGCCACGCGGGGTGTGTCGTTTATGTTTGGGAGGTTTTTGGTAAAAACACGAAAACTCTGTGTTTTGCGAGGTTTTCGTCAACAACACGTCGTTTCGGTGCTTTCTTTTTCCAGTGTTCTTTGTTCTTTGGTAGCATTTTTGCGAAAGTGTCGCAAAT